TCGTTTGCGCGACATGACCTACGCTGCACCCATCATGGTCGACATCGCCTACATTCGCGACAAATCCAAGATTGTTCGGAAGAATGTCCCCCTCGGACGCCTTCCCGTCATGTTGAAGAGTTCCATCTGCAGACTTGGTGGAGCCAACAACGCAGAGATGTCGCGCATGAATGAGTGTCCTCTTGATCCCGGCGGCTACTTCATCATCAATGGTACGGAGAAGGTCATTCTCATTCAGGAACAGCTGAGCAAGAACCGTGTCATTGTCGAAGCCGATGAGAAGAATAGCGTCATCACAGCATCCGTCACCAGTTCGACTCACGAACGCAAGTCCAAGACGTACGTGACGCTCAAGAAGGACCGGATTCTTCTTACTGCCAATATTTTGGTGGAAGGCATCCCGATTGTCATCATCTTGAAGGCGCTGGGAGGTCTATCAGATTACGAAATCATGCAACTCGTTGCCGGCGACAACGGAAAATATCAAGACGAGTTCCTCATTCAATTCGAGGAAGCTACCAAGGTTGGCGTCTATACGCAACAGCAAGCTCTAGAGTATATCGGCGCTAGAGTAAAGATGGGCAAAAGTAGGGTCCCCTTCGCCGCGCAAGTCCGAAGAAATCACGTCGAAGAAGCCCTCGACGCCTTGGCGAACCTCATCATCGCCCATGTCCCTATTGAGGGCCTAGACTTTTACCCCAAGGCTGTCTATGTGGCTTTCATGACGCGACGTGTCTTGATGGCGCAAGCCGACCCAAGTCTCGTTGACGACCGTGACTTCGTCGGAAATAAGCGACTCGAGTTGGCCGGACAACTTCTCTCCCTGCTTTTTGAGGATTTGTTCAAGCAATTTTGTGGCAATGTCAAGAGCAGCATCGACAAGGTTCTCAAGAAGGACAACAGAGCTGTTCCTCTTGATGCCGTCAACATGATCAGCAATCACGCCAACATGATAGGCCAAGGCATCAATCGAGCTATCCAGACAGGAAACTGGACCGTCAAGCGTTTCAACATGAACCGAGCCGGTGTTACCCACGTCCTCAGTCGTCTCAGCTACATCAGCGCTCTCGGTATGATGACTCGAATCAGCTCGCAGTTTGAAAAGACTCGCAAAGTCTCTGGTCCTCGTGCTCTTCAACCCTCGCAATGGGGTATGCTTTGCACCTCAGATACACCCGAAGGTGAAGCCTGTGGTTTGGTCAAGAACTTGGCTCTCATGACGCACATTACAACCAACGTCGAGGAAGCGCCAGTCAAGCGATGGGTCTTCACTCTGGACGCTGGTGTGGAACCTATTCGGAACTTCTCAGGCGGAGAAATGCACCGCGAGACTTCGTACGTCATCCACATAAACGGAACCCCATTCGCATTGACAAGATACCCGAAGCGCTTTGCTGGCAAGTTTAGAACGATGAGAAGACGCGGCTGGATTTCTCCATTCGTCAGCATTCACATCAACAATCACTTCAACGCAGTCCACATTGCCACCGATGAAGGACGTATTTGCCGACCTTACATCATTGTCAAAAACGGCAAGCCCAAGCTCAAGGAGGAACACTTGAGACTCTTGCAACTGGGCAAGGCTACGTTCGATGACTTTTTGACTCACGGCATTGTCGAATATCTTGACGTCAACGAAGAGAACGACACTCTTGTTGCTCTCTACGAGAAAGACGTTACTCCTCTTACTACACACATGGAAATCGAGCCTTTCACTGTTCTTGGCGCAGTCGCTGGCCTCATTCCCTTCCCTCACCACAACCAATCTCCTCGAAACACCTACCAATGCGCCATGGGTAAGCAAGCTATTGGCGCCATCGCATACAACCAATTCAACCGTATCGACACTCTGCTTTACACCCTTGTCTATCCGCAAAGACCAATGGTCATCTCCAAGACAATCCAGCTTGTCAACTATGATAAACTCCCAGCTGGTCAGAACGCAACAGTTATTGTCATGTCGTACTCGGGCTACGATATTGAGGACGCTTTAGTCTTGAATAAGGCATCTTGTGATCGCGGTTTCGGACGCTGCCAAGTATTCCGCAAGTACACGGCCGAGCTGCAAAAGTACCCCAACGGCCGACGCGAACGCATTGGTGATCCGGTCAACGACGAAAACGGCAGGACGACCAAGCACGAGGCCTTGGACGACGACGGTCTTGCCATTGTGGGCTACAAGGTCAATTCGGGTGAGGTCATGATCAAGAAGGAAACCCCTCTCGATACTGGGTCCACAGGCATCGGCATGGATCGTGGACCAAGCGAGTTCAGAGATTCGTCCATCTCGTATAGAATTGCGGATCCCGCGTACATTGACAAGGTGATGGTGTCCCACACGGAGAGGGAAACGATGGTGGTCAAGGTTCAGACGCGACAGACAAGAAGACCAGAGCTTGGTGACAAGTTCTCGTCTCGTCACGGGCAAAAGGGTGTTGTTGGAATCATCGTCGACCAGGAGGATCTGCCATTCTCTGATACGGGCCTGGTTCCCGATATCATCATGAACCCTCACGGTTTCCCGTCCCGTATGACTGTTGGCAAGCTGCTCGAATGCTTGACTGGCAAGGCTTCGGTTCTGGACGGACGAAAAGACTACGGATTTGGCGACGCTTTCCGCTCTCACCCCTTGGAACAGATGAGCGCTGCCCTGGTTGATCACGGTTTCTCCTGGGAAGGCAAAGACTACTTCACTTCGGGTATCACTGGAGAGCCTCTGGAAGCTTACATTTTCAACGGCCCCATCTACTACCAGCGCTTGAAGCACATGGTGCAAGACAAGATGCACTCTCGTTCTCGTGGTCCCAGAGCCATTCTTACTCGCCAACCCACAGAAGGTCGTTCGAGAGATGGTGGTCTCCGTCTGGGTGAGATGGAGCGCGATTGTTTGATTGCGTACGGTGCCTCCCAGCTGCTGCTTGAGCGTCTCATGATCAGTTCCGACGGAACGCAGATTGATATTTGCCAGCAGTGCGGTTTGTTCGGTTACAAGGGTTACTGCCACACGTGCAAGAGCACCAGGGAGGTTACACAGATGACGATGCCCTACGCCGCCAAACTTCTGGTGCAGGAGCTCATCAGTATGAACGTCGGTGTGAGGCTGCAGCTTGCAGACGAGTTCCCTCATCCGAGATGATGAGATGGCGCGACGTGTATAGTACTTGAAGTGTATCACGCATAGCCCGGGATATTGGAGTTTTGACAAGGACGGCGTAGGGTCTAAAAGCATAGATAGCACACGAGAAACGTAGATATCAATCGAGGGTTCACAAGCAATTGAATGATTAATTCCCCGGGGCACCTTTGCACTTGAGATACCATCCCTTACCAAGTACCATGTGTCTTCGTTGGTAGTTGAACGTTGTCTCCCGTCTGAATCGATGTTAAAATGGGTCCTCCATCCGGGCGTGCGGGTCCTTCTCCGCACCCCCGGCCATCCTACACTAAGCTTGAGGTACCTGAACCATGGGATTTCCGAAGCTAGAGCTTCACCCCTGCGAATTCTGATCCGTCGCTTCCCTCCGCAGCGTACTTGTTCCTGACATCATCCTTTGTAACCGTCGCCTCCGCGTGCTTTTCCTCTTCCCTACTACGTCCAACACCGCAAAGCTTTCTCTCCCTCGCGCGATATTGTTCTAATTTATGACTGCCGCTCTCCAGTATTCATGGCCACCTTGCGCCTAGCTACCTCGCCCGGCGTGCGGGCCGCTACGACGTCGCCGCTGACTTCGCAGCTGTGGTCCAGCGCAGCCGCCGTGAATGCGTCCACCCCGAGCACATCAAGCACCGCAAGCACGATTCCCGCCGCAACAGTAGCTGCCGCCGCCGTAGCTGCTGCGAATACTCCCACGACAACGGCAAAGACGATTTTTCCTCCCCCGCCGCCGTCCGTCCTGGCGCGTGCGAGAACGAAGAGCGTCGAGCCGCAGAACCGCTACTTCAACCCTTCCAACGCAACCCTCTCCGCCACCGGCGGCGGCCCCGGCAAGAAGCCAGGCGATGAGAACAATGCCAATTTGGGCAAAAGTACGTTTCTCTTTACCTACCCTGCGTGAACGAGCCAGACATATTGCGCAACTGGGGGGCTAACAGCATCCGAATGAAAACAGCCCTTCGCATCCTCCAAGATCACCTACCTCGGGTCCTCCAGTCCCCGCTCCCGCAAGAGATCCTCGCTCCCAACATCTCGCTCCACCTCTTCCCGACAACGCACCCGCATCTTCCGACCGTCTCTGGCCGCGTCGCCTACACAGCCGCCCTCTGGACCTCGCCCATCGCCTGGAACCGCCTGCCTCTGGTCGGGAACGTCCGCCTGTCCATCATCTCGGAGCGCGTGACGAAGCAGCCCCTCCATTTTGCGCCGTTACACCCTGGTGCTGTGCTGGAGCAGCTTGTCGTCAGGTGGTGCGCGTCTAGCAAGAAAAATGGCGGAGGGGTCGGCGGCGCCGCGGCATCTCCTTCGCATGGCGCTGAGACGTCGGAAGGAGGGGGCGTGAAGGCGGAAGACGGCGTGGATAAAGCGTTTACGGGGCTTTTCGTATTCCAGTTTGATGCTGAGGGCAGGATATTGAGCCATACGATCGAAACTGTGCAAGAGGGTGGCGATTGGGAGAAGGGCGTCGGTGCCAAGGTCGTCGGGCTGACAGACTGGCTCCTCGGCGGGATGCGGAGGCAGGGAGACAACCCCAGTCCTGCGTTTGAGGGTCTCGACAAGGGCAAGCAGTGAGTCAGGTCTTCCATCACTGCGTGAAGGGTTGCTTCACAGAATGGCGATGGTATTGTAGATATCTGGGCGGAATGGCGCAACGGAAACGGCGTTTCGGATGTTTGGGGGACCATACCAAATTCATCATTAGGCAGGCGGCATAGCAACCCTCTCCTCTATGCATATGTACAACAGCTGTATCATCAACCTCAAAACAACTCTCACCCAATAACTCCGAAAACTCCCATTCTTGGCAGAAAGAGCATATCCTTCTGTGGGCATCAATGGGTCCCTCCTAGGTGCGCCCTGTAACGACAGATCTCTTGCCTCCCTTCTCCTCGTCCTCTTCAGCATGACACGCCATAACATCAGCCAGATCGCCCTCCTTGACCATCAAAATTTGCGTATCCGCCAAACTAGAGCTCGTAACCGTCGTCCCCAGAATCCACCCGTGCCAAATCTTCTGCATAATATTATCCGGACTCAACATAAGACACCCCTTCATCCCTTCCTCGTCCCTTGGCGTAACGGCGACCATCAACCGCTTCGCGCCCGCGAACCGATCGACAACGTGCCACAGACACCCAAAGATCTGATCCGACTCCTGCTCGGGGTAATGCAGCTCCTCAAACGCGCAAGCGACGTGCCGCACGCGCCGCGTGTCCTCCTTGCGCAGGAAATACACCATGGGGCTGTTGAAGCCGTACTGGTCGTAGGCCTCGAGCTCGCCGACGAGGTAGAGGGCGTCTAGGCGGAAGTTGAACCAGACGCGCGGGGGGCGGGCGATGGGGGTGTCGGAGAGGAGGGCCGAGATGCGCCAGCCAAAGGCGAGTTCGTAGTGTTTTAGGCCGAGGGCGCGGGATTCGCGGCTGATGAGGAGGATGAGGGGGCATGTTGGGTTGAAGATTTGTTTACCTTGTTCTTCTTTGGTCTCTGTCCCTGCTGCCTCTCCTTCTGTTGTTCCTCCTGTTGTTGCTTCTCCTGTAATTCCTCCCCTTGTCGCTCCTCCTCCTGTTGTTCCTTCTCCTGCTAGGCTAGTTTCTGATGCCGTATTTGTGGGAGAATATGAGGAGGATGGAGAGGAGGGGAAGAAGGAGGAGGGAACACGGGGTGCGGCGAGGGAATGGTTCGCAAACGCCTCACGCCGGGCGGGCAGCCTGGCGTCACGCTCGAAGCAGCAGGCCGTCACGACGCGCGGGGCGATGAGATAGGACCATATCTTAAGGCGGATCTCCGGGGGCAAGTCCGGGAAGCGGTGAAATTCCGAAAGAGTCGTGAGAGCTCCCGCGCGCGGGGCGTCGAGGCCGTCGTCGAAGAGGGAGAAGTCGAGCCAGAATTTTGAGTCCGAGGTACGTGCTTTCAGGTGGGCTTCTTCGTCCTGTGAGGGCGGAGGCGGGCTGGATATGGTGTCTGTTGTGGGAGCTTGGTCGATGTCCATTGTTTGGTGGTGAAGGGGTGAGGGTGAGGATGAAGAGAAGATTCGGAGTTTACGTATGTATGTATGAGACGTCTCGATGAACGCCCGCTTGACGGATGTGAGATGAGGAGTTTGGTGGGATGAGTTGGCTCTCTCTAGCGGGATACGGGAATGAAGGGAATGAGACTTTCAGTCAATCTGCCTCATGTAAGTGAGCGTCCAGTCCCGAATATGAGGCAACACTCTTCTCTCATAAAGACAGTGAGACAGGCTATGGTAAACGTGTGATGAGGCGAGGTGAGGTTGCGGAGAGGGTCCGGCCGCCGGAGCTTCGCGACCGCACCACAAAACACACAGCCCACTTTCCTAATCGGGCCAACTTAGCCACCTCGCCTCGGCGTTGCGCAGCGAATCACAGTGACATTTGCCGCACCCAGACCTGACGAAGCCAGCAGGTTTTTTTTGTTGTCTCTCGACAAGAGGAGGGGCTTGGCTTTTCCTTGTTTCTCTTCGCCACTGACCGACGTCAAGTTTTGTCTATTCACCGATCTGGGTTGCAGGTAGGAGGCTCTGAGACAAAAGCGATTTGATGCTGCGACGAGCAATCAGGTTTTATATATTTCCTTACACATCTGCGATTTTAAATTAGAGAACGACTCATTAGGAAGCGGCAAGTCTATCTTGTTAAAGTTCGCTCCGCCTAAATGGGATTTCCAACTCCCGTAACCTGTAAAAGTACCCCAAAACAATCAATATGAAGTCCTATAGCTCGGCCCATGCAAATCATTCTCAACCTACTCCAAAGCCGACTCCCCGCCCGACGAATGCTCTCTCCTGACATTCTTGACAGTGCCTCGCTTGCGGAAATAGCTAAGCAAGTACACGCCCTCATAGATTTCGTTCTGCCTCTCATCCTTACCCTCCTCGACTTTGCTGATGTAGACATTGCCAAGAAGCGACGCCGATATCGTGCACTGAGAGACATCGAGTCAGCTTAAAGGATAGAAGGCTTAAGGGCCTGGAAGTATGACTTACAAGGACCATAAAGGGACAGATGGCGACAAATGCCCAGACGACGCCCATCTTGGCATCGTGGGTGATCTGCTGCTGCGTGGCGGCAGGCAGACGGCTAAGGGCCTCAAAGTCTCTCAGGGGCGAGTCCTCACCGATGCCAGAAGCATTGTTGAAGACGGTCGTCATGATGGTCAGGCCCAGCGTTCCGCCAAAGGGGTAGGCGACTGCCATGAGGGAAATGACGGCCGCGATTTTCTTGGGGAAGTAGCCGACGCCATGGAGAGGGACTGGACCGAGGATCAGTCTCACTGCTATAGATCAGAGGGCGTGTGAGGAGAGGAATACTTACCGGGCATGATGCGAAGACCTGTTCCCACACCAGTAAGAGCCATCATCCCGTACACGGTAGGATTGTGTTCTGTCCAGAGGGCCCACGCCAGCAAGCCGATGCCGAGCATTTCGAGAATCGAGCCAAGAAAGATGGGCGGGAACGTCTTGCGCGGCCAGCCGTTGCACATGAAGGCCGAGGCATAGACACCGACTGTACGATTCACTCGTCAGAAACTTCAAGCTCAAGAATGAGGTAGGGAAGGAAACTCACCTGCCAAGCCTGGGGTAAAGTACAGTAGCTGCACGCCAGACTGGTCCGCCGACCAAAGCTTCACCATTGTGAAGTAAATGTTGCAAAAGTACAGCACAGAGTACATGGCCATGCCCGTGGCGAAGGAGGTGTAGAACAAGAGGGCAATGTCCCTGTTACGAACCAACTCCCAGGGAATCATGGCCTTTTGCCACGGGAAGCGGCGGGCCAGGGCCATGCCCGGGGACATGTGGTACTCCCAGACGATGAATAGGATGCTAATGACAACACCCAGGATGAGCGTCACGAGAACGGCGGGACTGGTCCACGAGTACGTTGCGCCGGCCCACGTCAAGCCAAGGACGAGAAGGCCGAAGCCAAAAAGGAAGAGGAGCTGGCCTCCGATGTCGATTGTCTGCAGACGCTTTTTGAAGGTTGTTCGTCGGCCCGTCTCGGTGGTCTCGTCAAGTTGGGGTATGGGCTGCGGTCCGAGGAGTTCGGAACGAAGGACGAAGTAGAGGATGAACATGCTGACAAAGGCGATGGGCAGGTTAATGCCGAAGCACCATCGCCAAGAAGAACCGCTAGTGATGTATCCTAACCGTCTGTTAGTTTTCACATCTCAATGACAGTGCAGTTTCTGGGGTGGCTCACCTCCTAGGACAGGACCCAGTCCCCATCCCAAGACACCCCCCAGGAAGGAGAAGATTGCCCAGTTCTTAGCGTTCTCGCGAAGGGTCACTTTGTCGGCGATGACGATTCGGACGAGAACGTTGAGGCCAGCACACGCCAGGCCTTGGAAGCCGCGGCCGAGCAGGAGGACAGGGAAGGCATCCGTCGGCGCGCCAGTGCACAGTGCGCTGCCAACGAGCATCAACACCAAACAGGTCTGTATCGAGACATGGCGTCCAAAGATGTCGGCGATCTGGCCCCAGAACGGGATAAAGGCGGCTGACGTGAGGTTGAAGGCTGCGATGATCCAGTTGAGCTGGCGAGTCTCGTCTGCGCGATTGTTAGATATAGGAGGGGCCGGGGAAGATGGATGTATGGAGTCAGGGTCTTACGGAAGTCGGCTGCAATCCAGGGCAAGGCACTGGCGACCTTTTGGATCTCGTCAGCTGGGCTACATTGTTCAGGGCTCTAACAAGGGCAGCACTTACGATTGTCACGTCCAAGGCTTGAACAACAAAGGGGAGAACGAGGCTGGCAAAAAGCTTGATTCTGTACTTGAGCTGTGCCTTGCGCTCAGACTTGCATGTCGGGCAGGGCCCAGAGGCCGGATCGAATTGGTGACCGCAAGTCGGCGTACTTGAAGTTCTTTCTGCTGGGGTTTGGTTATTCTTGTCGTGGTAGGTTGCGCTCTCGCTTGATGATCCTTCCGTCCCTGTTGGCTTTGTGCCTGTTGTCGTTTGCGGTTTGCCCGAACCCTTCATGGCCCTGTAGGCCTTCTTCCCCAAGTAGATGAAAACCATGTTGAAGTTTTCTCTCAGGGGTAGGACGGGTTGTTGATGTCTCTTTCGGTGGAGGAGTTATTGTCTAGTGCTGCTTGTCCGAGTATGTACTCTTGTAGTTGTTATGGTGGTGTCTGGTAGATTCAAACTCGATGATTCAGGGGTAGGAATAAAATGCTTGATTGAATATTGACTCTATATAAGTTTGATCTGGGGGAACGGAGGTGTTTTATAAATCCTCGCCGGCGACAGTCTACTTGACATCCAGATACATGATGGGTAGTTCACTCTAGACAGGGGCTAATACAGAACAACCAGACCGGAATGGGCTTCCGCGGAGGCTGGGTAAGACGAGCCCTCAACCCGTTTAGACGAGTGCGAATGCAGATAGCGATGGAGGCAGTCCGTGGATCTTCTCGAAACGGTCGCCGAGATGTTCTCTCTTCCGTAGCATCAGCAGCACGGAGATAGACGAAACTTGGGCTTCATGACCCATCCATCACCCGCAGGGAACGGAAGCATGTAGACGCCAAATGCACAGCCCATGGAAGACGACGACGACGACGACGACCAGGTATCTTAGCACCGAGAGTAGTCGATGATTGGCGGCTTTGCGACCATACTGATGGAATGGGCGTGGCTCATCGTTCCCGTTGTACACGCATGAGACTAGGGATCAAGGGACCATCAAGAACCTGGGAAGACCAAGGTGCCTTATCCCATTTGCGGATGCCGGGCGTTGTTGGAAGATGGCAGAGAGCGGCAGGCCGGGAGGAGAGGACAAGCTCTTGCCAAGGCGGGCCAAGGCAGCCCTACCTACAGCTTATCGATGCGACCCAGCCAATCGATAAGATGTTTACAGCATGCACGTATCCACAAGAGGGAAAGCCAAGAATTAGGCGAGTGCGAGGGTTGTGGAGATGGTTCCAATCCTCTGGATCTTTCTCTGGATCGCCTTTACGAATTTCTACTTCTTCCCACCCATCCAAGCCCCACGAGTCCACGACACAGACACACACACCTTCAGCTCGTGGATTCAACCAAATCGCGACTAGTTGCATTTATGATGCATGGGAGGGAAGAAAAGAATGAGACACCTGCAGGATGTCATTCTCAGCCATTCCCGCTCGATAGGTACCTAAGGCTCGTAGTACCTACGGATTGACCGTAACGAACTTAGGTTATCCGCACGGTCGGATAACCATCGCGCCTCTCGAATCGAATTCCCAAAAGAGCATAAAAACATCCTAAAGGGACTGCGCCTGTCAGCACCAAAGGTCTTATGCGCCTCGCATCGTCGTCATTCGGAAGTCGGCACGAGGATGCCACGACGTAGAGCTCGCGTCGAATCGGTATCCTTTTTGGGACCTTCGTTGGATACATCAAAACAATTCACCACGAGTCTGCTTTCTTAAAGCTCACATTGGATGGCATCAGATAACTATTACTTGGCGACCGGATGGCGCCGTATTGGCAAATGCTTGTTGTGCTGAGTGTCAGCCCGTCATACGGAGTATCCTTGACGCCGATCCATTTTCCGTACCTGTGTCCCTGAGATTGGACGAACTGATAGATACGGTGCAATACGGACCCATGCGGGCTGATACCTTGAGGGCAACGGCCAGCGGGTATCCGTAATCTCGACCTGATTATCGGGGGAGTGGAGAAGCTTCAACCTCGTGCCTAATTTCCGGCTGATTGAGCGACTTCCCGAGCCATCAACCAAGTGGACCCCGCAATCAGCCTTCTCAAAAGCTTCTATCCATGTCAACGTCCACTTTCGTTCCGAGTAGGAAAACCTTCGCCCTCTTTCTCACAAGGTTGCCGGCGGGCGGGCGGCGGCAGAAACGGCACCGGGCACGAAGCACGAGGCTCGAGGCACGGTGCAACAGGCGGGCACGAATCAGAAAACCAATGCCATGCCACTGCCACGCGCAGTTCGTCTGGAGTCGGTGTGGTCAGTCTGGTCGGTCTAA